GGACCCTTCAGTTTGCAGGGCGATGCTCTACCCACTGAGCAAACCGGCTAGGACAATTTTATGTCTTTTAAATGAAATTTCTTCTTCTTTTTTTTTTTGCCTCTGCTCTGTGTAGTCATGTCCTCTTTTTCATTTCTACTACTTGTGCTTTCTTTTTTTTCCTTTGATCAACTGCATCAGAAATTTGAAATTTGTTGTTTTGTCTATCTTTTTTTTTAAAAAATAATTTATTGATTTTTAGAGAGGGAGGAAGGGAGAGGGACAGAGAGGAGAAACATCAATGTGAGAGTGCAACATCAATCAGCTGCCTCCTGCACACCCCCCACTGGGAATTAAGCCCACAACCCCACTGGCAACCTTTTGGTGCACAGGAGGATGCTCAACCCACTGAGCCATGCCGGCCAGGGCTACTTACCTATCTTTAGTTATTACTTTGGGCTTTGTTGATCCTCTCCCTTATGTATTCGTTTTCCATTACATTAATTATGGATCTTATCTATAGTATTTCTTTTGGTTTCTTTAGATTTAATTTTATGTTCTTTTATAACTTCTTAATTTTGATACTTATCTAATTAATTTTCAAACTGTCTTTTTTTTCTAGTGTAAGTTTTTTTTAAGGACCTGCTTCTCTACATTCTCCAAGTTTTCTGTTGTAAAGTATTTTGTTATTCTAAGAATATTTAAATTACCTTTATGACTTTTTTGATTCATGAATTCTTTTTTTTTTTAAAATATATTTTATTGATTTTTTTAGAGAGAGGAAGGGAGAGGGATAGAGAGTTAGAAACATCGATGAGAGAGAAACATCGACCAGCTGCCTCCTGCACATCTCCCACTGGGGATGTGCCCGCAACCCAGGTACATGCCCCCGACTGGAATCGAACCTGGGACCCCTGAGTCCGCAGGCCGACGCTCCATCCACTGAGCCAAACCGGTTTCGGCACGATTCATGAATTATTTCAAAGAGTTTTATAATTTCCAAGTGCCTGAATATTTAAAAATATATCTTTTTTTTTTTAATATTTTCAGCTTAATCTTCTGTGCTCAGAGAATGTGGTCTTTGTGATACCAGTTCTTTGAAATTTGTTGGGATTGTTATTTTATATTCTGTAACTTACCTTGGATGTCTAAATCTGTTTTGTTGTTTTTGCCTGTGGTAGCTTGTTTCCTTATATATTTTCCATTTTTGGGTTTTGAGCTCATTTTGTTAAACTTAATCTACAGGAATCCAGAGGGTCTCAGTTGTGGGTACCTTTCTCCAGAGAGGATTTGTATTTGCTTCCACTAGGAGCCAAAAGGTGCTTTTGACCTGGGACTGTGCTAGCCCCTTCAAGAGTCACAGTTTAATTCAGGAGTGCCAGGTTTGCTCCCCTTCCTTGGTTAGGCCCAAGGTTTAGCTTCTGCTCACAATGCTGCTATTGGCATTTGTCCGAGGGCAAACCTGCTTTTCCTACTGCACCTTGATCATCCTTCATAGATTTCAGCTTGATGTTATTTTTTTTTCTTCTTTTTGTGATTTCCCTTTCTAGCAAGCTCAGCAATGTGCTAATATCATGCTTGCCATAATTTGTCCAGGATCGAGTTGTATTTTAATGGGAAAGCCCTTTATCCATGCTACCAGAAGTAGGAGTTGATTACTGTGTTTTAATATTTTCCTTCTTGTTTTTTAAGTGCGAGGTGTTTGCATTTTAAAAGCTAGTAGACTTGGGCTCTGTTTTCAAGTCAGTAATCACAGCACAGTGTGAGTGAGTTAGGTTAAGAGTAAGCACAGAGAGCGGTGGTAACCCAGAAGAATAATACGTAACTCAGACATGGATCAGGAATGACTTCCCAGTAGAGGTGAGTAGGAATTTAGCTGGACAAGTCTAACTCTTAAATAAGAACAGAACAACATAAGACATGATAAAAAAGAGCTAAATCATGATACTCTACTGCATAAGAGCTGAATGTAAATTCAGAGAGGTCACTTTGAGTAATTTGGGAAGGCTTTATGGAAAAGTTAGGCTTGAGTTAATCCTTTAAGGTAAGTAGACAGATTGGTGGCAAAGAAGAGGGCATTCCAGGAAAAGCAGGGTTTTGGGGGTGTGGGCATGGCAGAATAACCCAGTAAAGAGACCTGGCAGGCAAAATGGATGTGTATGAACAACAGCGGGAAATAAACTAAAAGCTAAAAGAATACACAACCAGTGTTGATTGGATGAATGTATAAAGTCTGCATTCTAGGATGTGGGAATGGAGTCAAAAGAAACCAGCCAGCCCTGGCCGGCTTGGCTCAGTGGATAGAGCGTCGGCCTGCGGACTGAGGGGTCCCGGGTTCGATTCCGACTGGGGGCACATGCCTGGCTTGCGGGCTCGTTTCCCCGGTGGGGGATGTGCGGGAGGCGGCCCATCGGTGATTCTCTCTCATCATTGATGCTTCTATCTCTCTCTCCTTCTCCCTTCCTCTCTGAAATCAATAAAGAAATATATTAAAAAAAAAAAAAAAGAAAGAAACCAGCCAGGCATCGGTTGCCTTTATCCACATGGGAAGGGATGAGGGACTGGACAAGGCTTCTGACACATTAGAGGTGATAGACATATGGAAAAATAAATCACCGGTAATGGGATAGATAGTTTTTAGGCAGTCCAATTTTAAAACACTATTTTTAAAATATGAAACAAGTTATTCTGTAGTCCAAGCAATCTTCAGTTCATTAGATGAAGGGCTAAGCTAAGATTTTGGGGAATGTACTGCTTCCTCTACCTACCATTTCTTATTCTCTTCCCAATACTCTGTTCCCCATTACCTTACCTCCCACCCCGTGTCATCTTCCATTTTAGCTCTATCATAAATGAAGTTAAAGATAATTTATAATTTACTAAAATTTGAAATAATATTTTGTTGTTAAACTAAGACAAACTCTATGTTTAGTCTATGTCTCCAAATAAATTTATTGCCCACTTTTGTGGGTAACAACTTTCAAAGCAAATGCCACATTCACTCACATACCAAACAGAGGAATTGACGTCATCATATATTCATCTAAGTATTTTGTCTCATGTTATAGTTTCTCAGTAGGTCTACTTCTTTGTCTAGGATCATCCTGCTTGCTCCATCCTATAAGATAAAACTAAGCATAACATAATTAATAAAGCAGTATTTATCAATTGTTCATAAGAAAACTTTGTTACTGGAAAGAGTGTGAATTCAGTTTAAATCTTAGCTTTACCACTTTCCATACGATTTTGAACATTTATTTAGTCCAGTTATTTCAAACTGTAGATTGTATCCTATTAGTAGATTGCAAAGCTGATTTAGCAAGATGCAAAACTTTAAAAAGTGAAATAAAATAGAAAATATCAGAATGCATTACATATAGTAAAGGTAAGTATTGTTTTATGAAACGTATCTCAGTAAAGACATGTCTGTATTCTTCACTGGTCATGACATAAAATATATTTCCAATTAAACCGAAGCAGTGACCCTCTTTTCTTTCACCATTTACCCTATATTATTGTCCCAATAATAGTAATATAGTACTACACATAGTAGTAACCTGTACGCTTTTAATCCTCACAAACCCCCGTAGACAGTTAATATTCCTGGATCCACTTTGCAGACATAGAAACCTCAGTACAAAGACTGTTAAATCAGTCATCCCAAATCAAACAGCCTATAAGTGGCAGGGAGGTAGCATCTGAGACCTGGACTCAAATAACTAGCCCCCCAACCCCGAGCTGGTGTGGCTCAGTGATTGAGCTCAACCCAGGAACCAGAAAGTCACCGGTTAGATTGCTGGCTGGACCCCCAGTGGAGAGGGGGATGGAGTGCTGCAGGAGGCAGCAGATGGATGGTGTTTCTTTCTGATGTTTCTATCTCTACCTCTCTCCCTCTCTAAAAATCAATAAAAATACAAAAACACTAGCCTCGATGTAAAATAAATAAGGCCCTATGAGGGTTGGGACAGAGGTTCTGATGGAGAGAGCTTCCAATCAATAAAAATGCTGGCAAATACACAAAACTAACAACAGAGGTCATTTGCAGGGTTGGGTTTGTTTGTTTATTTTTTTATTTCAGACAGGAAGGGAAAGGGGAAAGAGAGAGAGAAACATCAATGATGAGAGGGAATCATTGATAGGCTGCCTCCTGCACACCCCACAACCCCAGGCATGTGCCCTTGACTGGAATCCAACCCAGGGCCCTTCAGTCCACAGGCCAACGCTCTACCCACTGAGCCAAACCAGCAAGGGCTGCAGGGTTGCTTTTGTTTATTCGTTTAGTTTTATATGATTTTGCTCTGTTTTGAAGAAAGGGTTGTGCCCTCCAAGCCTTTGTCTTTTCACTCACCTCTCCCAAACTGGCCCTGTCCAGCCGCTCCCTAGAGGGATCGAGGTCCAGAGGCTGGAGGCCGAAGGCTACCCAGGCAAGTGGTGACTCCCGAGGCAGAACCGCGGCCTCAGGTCGCACCACTAATGGTAGGAAAGATTCCGAAGCGATAAGGGGCGTAATCTGGGCACCGTCCTTTAAAATGAATAGGAAAGGGGTATTCAAGGGTGACTATCTCCTCCGCCCACCCTCCCTCTTCCCTCTTTCCCTCTTCCCACTGGGCCCCAGCGTCCATTCCACGGCCTGATTTACTAAGAGAAGAGGGGAGGAGGTAAAGCCACTGATTGCAATTATTCGCTAACTCAAACGGACTTATTTACATGCAATTTGCATGTTCTTATGGAAGTACGCAACGTGTCTGTGCTCCTCCTCTAACGGGGTACCCGCGCCCGCCTGCTCCTCTCAGCCGGGAGCCCCAGCCCCTTATCCAGGAAAATTTACTTCCCTTTCGGCTTCCTTAGCCTCGCAAACTCCACCTCTTAGCTCCGCCTCCCAAAGACTGGCCCCTCCTTCCACCCGTAGGCTCCTCCCCTTGACCTCTTCCCCGCCCCCTCGCGCTTCCAAACATCTGTTCCCCGCCCCCTTTCCTATTTCTGAACAGGCATGTTTCAGGCAGCTCACTGGACTCCTTAGATTACTATGGGATGGTAGGGGCCTGAGCGTCGGAGAAGCAGGGAAGCAGAGCCCAAGGAAAAGGGCTTGGATTTAGAAGAAGCAAGCCCTACTGGGGATATTTTTTTGGGGGGGGATCTTGGTGGTGCGGAGGGAGGAAGAGGAGCTTGTGTAGCCCGGCCGAACTTGAGGCAGCGCGAAGGCCCCCTCAGGCGGCGCCGAGGGCAGCCCCGCCGCCGGGGCCTGGTGCAGCCGCCGCGGCCGCTGTCAGGGAAGCGCAGGCGGCCAATGGAACCCAGGAGCGGCCGCTGCTGCTGAGGCGGCGGTGTCGGCAGCCCGACCCCGACCGCCCGCACCCCCTCCGCGGGGGTCCCCCGGAGGTAAGCGACTCCTACTCCGTGAGCCCCCCTTGCCCTGTGTTGTGGGGGTTCCTCTCCCCCCCGCGTCCCGCACCGCCTTCCCCCGCCCCCACACGTAGGTTCGACTACAAAACTGCCCTCCGGTGGCAGCTGCACCCCGGCTTCCTTCTCCCCCTTTTCCAGCCAAGCCTGGGGTACTTCTCAGCTTTTTGGCTTCCCCTTCTGTTTAGCTCCTCCTCGTCCCGGGATCCCTCCCCCCCTATCCTGCTGCTTTCCGAAT